CAAAAGACTCAACAACTTCCTCTTCCTCATTCTCAAGGACATTAGCAATCAAGGGCTGTACCTCTGTCATCACTGCACGCAACTTCGGCATTGGATCTGTCCCACGGGGACGGGTTGCTCAAATTGCCCCTCCATCGGCAAAGGGCAATTACTTTGGAACACGTCGCATGGGAGATTAAACGAAAAGATTCATTCGTGTATCGGCGCATCAGCATATTTCACATACACCGTCAACGGTTCAGAAGACAGGAACGACAACTCGAGAGTGGTCATGCACCGGGATCGAGGAGGATGGCGATTATGCTGTAGCAAGAAATTAGATGATGTGCTTACGATTGACTGATTCAACATCACGATTTAAGACAAGGAAAGGGCAACCAGATGCGACAGAGGGAAATCTGAGGTTATACCAAATTTGTTACTCAAACGCATAAAGAAATTCTCATGACTACATGTACCCTAGCACCCATTATCCTTAACGCCAATAATATGCCCTTATAATGCTTTATCTAGCAATAATTCAGTTCAGTCCAATCTGTTCAAGCAACCACTTGGCCTCTTCAAACACTTCTTCCGGCGTGCCCTCAGCCTCGATGGGGAGGACATCCAACTCCGCGACACCCGCAGCCTCATACACCTCAACCTGTCCCTCTACCATGCTCGCCAGCATGTAGTGACCCTTGCGCTGATTCATCCTTTGCACAAGCGTCTCAGGACTGGCCTGGAGGTCGAGGAAGACAACCTTGACGCCCTCCTGCTCTGCAAAGACGCTTCGCAGGGTATCGCGATACGACTTCCTCAGAGCCGAGCAGCTGACGACGACAGAGTCGTAGCCCAGATCTCCGAGGGCTTCAGAAGCTCTCTTGCCAATGCGGCTGAGCCATAGAGACCGATCCTCGTCAGTCAAGGCGACGTTGCTGCCCATCTTCTCGATGGATGCCTTGGAATGCAGAGAGTCGCCCTCGATGAAGGGTGCCTTAAGAGAAGAGGCCAGAGAGGTAGCCAGCGTAGACTTTCCGCTGCCGCAAGGGCCCGCAACCATGACGACCGTCTTGGCTGAGACTTCGTTCTTCTTGACCCAGTGGTTGGCCTTGAAGTATCGGACAAAGTTGTCGACAAGCTTCTGATCCAACACGGGCGCTTGGGCCAGCGCCCGTGAGAGAGAGCAGGCATTGTCGGTGACATACGTCTTGGATGGCGAGAACTCGTCCTTGTCATACTTTGACGCGAAGAAGTCGACGAGCTTGATGGGCGGGTTGGCGGCGGGATCCGGGTTCGAGGCGCGCAGGCGACGGATCCACTCCTTGGGCTCGACCTCTTCGAACTCGAGGCCAGCGGCCTTGAGGGCAGGGAGGAGATCGTTGGTCCAGCTGAACATCTTGGGGTTCGCGACGTTAGTGAAGACGCCGTCTGCGTCAGAGAGGGAGATGTCGATGACGCCTTGCGCGACGGTGTCTACAGGCAGCCAGGAGGGTGTCTCTTGGAGTTTGGGGAGGGCGCCGACGGTGATTGCCGTTTGGAGCATGAGGGGAATGGCTTCCGTTGCGTTCCAGACGCCGTGTTGGGTGTCTGCGACGATCTGGCCGATGCGCAGGACGCGGGACTTGATTCCGGCCTTGGTTGCCTTGGCGCAGAGGTGCTCGGCGACGACCTTGGACTGGGCGTATCCCATACCCTGAGCCCATTCGAGATCGGGGACGGATTCGGGGACGGGGATCGTCGTCGCGCGCGCGACGGTGCTAACGGAAGAGCAGAAGTTGAACGAGGCAGGGGAAGATGCTCCGGTCTCGACGTCGCCGGCGGCCTTGCACAGGGCGATGAGGTGGTTGACGCCAGCAATGTTGCCCTTTGCGAAACTTGAGAGGCGCATGTTGAAGTTGACTGACCAGGCGGCGTGGATGACGAGGCGGAGATCCTGCTTGACCTGGCGGTACAGGTCGTCGGAGAGACCGAGCTTGGAATCGGCGAGGTCAGTGGACAGTGCGACGAGCTTTCTGCAGGAGGAGGCGGGCAGCGCGTGGTAGAGTCTGCGCTGGATGAGGGAGCTCTTCACACGGCGGGCTGCGTCGGCGTCGGAGCTGGCGCGGGTGAAGCAGTAGATAGCCTTGATGGTCGGGTCGGCGGCAAGCTTGGCGACGATATGAGCTCCGAGAGAACCAGTAGCGCCGGTGACGGCCTATGGGATGTTAGTACAGAGGTGCGAGAGGAATGTTGCTTGGGATATCAACTTACGACTGAGGATCGGGGAGCCGACTCGATAGGACCAAAGTCGCCGTACTTGTCAATTAGCTCTTGCATCTCGCTTTCGATGGGAACATCGGCCTGAACGCCCTCTCCAGTACCGAGACTGTAGAGGTAAGCGCTCAACTTGTTGATCGACGGGTGATCAAATACGACAGTCTGGCCAAGCTTGTTGTCGCCAATGTCAACCGTCCTCAGGATATCGGAACGCATTTGGATAGCCTGCAGGGAGTCGAGACCAAGTGAGAAGAAGTCGGTATCGTCATCCAGCTGGACCTTCTTTGAAAGAGTCTGGACGAGGCCCTGGCGGATGAAATCTTGCAACTCAGGAACGCTAAACTTCTTCAAGTCGCCGCTGGCCGCGTCTGCATTGTCGTAGACCTCGTCAATATCCTTAGCGTACCGCTTGTAGAAGGCCTGGCGAATGACGCTGCCCTTGTCGGTTCTGGGATACTCGCAGTCGTAAGGGAGAAGCTTGATCATGTTCTTGGAGACACGGGCATAGGCCTCAACGGACTTGCTCGCGCTCTCTACTACGGGCCAAATAATCTCAAGAATCTCATCATTGCTCTTGCCAGCCAGCACCGCAGCTGGAACGACGAGGGCACCGAGAGATGGGCGACCGACGCCGAAGATGACGCACTCTGTGATGTTCTTGTTGGAGCGGATCGTGCCCTCCATGTGGACGGGGTTGAACTTCTCGCCGTTGACGAGTGCAATGGTGTCGTCAAGTCTGGCAATGTACTTCCACGCCTTGGGGATCGTCGGGTGAGGCTCAAACAGATCCTTTGTGCAGTACGATCCATCCTCCTGATTCGTGGCTACCTTGGCAGGCCAGCCGGGCAGGACGCAGCACTCAAACAGGTTCGGACCGCGAGGAATCCACTTGAGGTACGGCGCGAGCTTCTCGTGCTCGCGAACATAGTTCCAGACCTTGTCGTTGGGAGGGCGGAAAGACGTCATGAGCTGACCGACCTCAGTTGCGCCGTAGTGGCCGACGAGGTTGACGCCGTTGTTGACGAGGGTGTCGCCGAGGTCGTCGGGGCAAGCGGAGCCGCCGTACATGACGGTCTTAAGCTGGCGGAGCAGGTCCATGCCCTCGTCTGTCTCTGCGAGGAGCTTGAGCGCGTAGGGCACGCCGTAGAAGATTTCAAAGTTGTGCTTGCGCATGATGCTTGTGAGGTGCTCTCTGGTCAACGGGAGACCCGCGTTGTACAGGTGGATGGGCTTTCCGCAGTAGATGGCGCGGTACAGATTGCAGATACCGTGGTTGTGGTACAGGGGTAGTGTGATGAAGGCCTTCATATTCATGCTGCTGGAATAGTTGTGGATGGCCGACTTTTGAGTCTGGTAAATGGGCTTGGGCAAGCCAGTCGAGCCTATGAGGGTCAGTGCTGCTCAAGAGGCAATACATGGAATGCAACTCACCACTAGAGTGAATGATGTAGATCAGGTTGTTGGTCTCAACTGAGAGATCACGACCATAATCCAGACGGGTATCCGCATGGACTTCGATGGGGAAGTCAAACGTTGACTGGCCGGCAATCTCAAAGACATCAAGCTGCGGCAAAGTCTGCTTGGTTCCCTGGGCCGTCTCGAGGTACCTCTTGTCAGCCAACAGGAACTTGGCACCTGTAACGCTGATGAGAGACTCGATGGCCTCCTGTGAGATTCTTGTTGACAAGAAGAGCGTCGTGTGTCCAAGCTTGGTCAAGGCCAGCATGGTGACGAGGTAGTCAAAGTTGGAGGGGCCAAGAACAGCCACTGTCGTGGGCTTCTCATCTGAGTTGAGGCGGCTAGGGATGCGCTGCTCGTAGAACTTTGCAACACGGTAGGCAAAAACGTCGAGCTGCCTCATGGTGTAGTCGACATATGCGATGCCCGATGAAGGGTAAGACACAATGACTTGGTCAGGATTCGACCGGGCGCGCCGGCGGACCAGCTCGTCCACAGTCTTGAGAGTAGAATCATCATTGTCCAAGTCCTGCACGGTAGCAGAGTCAATGATGGGATTCGCGTCCAAGCTGGAGCTCGGGAGCGCCGCGCTCGTGGGACCATATACTGAGGGAGGACTCATGGTGGATGATGTTGCAGGTGGTTCATCCAAAGTCGACGATGAGTGTTCTCCGGATTTTTGATGATGATGATGAGTCGATGACCACCCTGCTTTTGAGGTTTTGGATGGCTTGGTAAGTGGTTCATGTACCACCCTTTTGAGAGATGGAGAACGGCTCCGCGGCCCAGGCAAGACCGTCATTATTCCGACGCCGGTGATGTGAATTCCTCAACATCCGCCATGCTGATACCCTGCCTGACGCCCATCCGAGTGGACCACGCTTGTGGCGATCGAGGCGGGACAGAAACCTGGAGGAGGGTCTCCGTTGGTGGGGGAGGCATGAATCCGTTTCCCCGCTCATTGCTGGGGTTAGGTGACGGATTTTGAGGGCTCCGCCGACGGGTTTGGACGGATTCGACAAGGGTGTGACTAGCTCCAAGGAAAAGAATCCGCCAGTCTGAATCACAACTGCGGACTCGGTGGTGATGGAGTCGTTGGGAGCCACATGTGTTGATCGCAGTGTCGATGGCAGAGTGGCTGAAAGCGATTTATTATCTGCTCAATCTTTTCCATCAAGCGACCTGTTTTGGGCACATTATTATATAATTACAGCTTGATTTGTGTAGAATTCAACAATTGCGTCCATACCAGCCACGGATAAACGCCATTGATCCTTGCACATACACCAAGAAACTCTCTCAAGATGCCTCTCGCAACACACTTCACACTCAACACTGGTGCAAAGATCCCAGCAGTGGGATTCGGCACCTGGCAAGCTGGACCTCACGAGGTTGAGCGTGCTGTTGAGACTGCTCTGCGCTCCGGCTACCGCCACATCGACTGCGCCGCCATCTACCGCAATGAGGCGGAAGTTGGTGAGGGCATTCGCAAGAGCGGCGTGCCTCGTTCAGAGATCTTTGTTACAGGGAAGCTGTGGAACACCAAGCACGCACCCGAAGATGTCGAGTCCGGTGTTGACAAGACGCTCAAGGACTTGGGGACGGATTACCTCGATTTGTTCCTGATGCACTGGCCAGTGTAAGTCTCATTCTTGATTCATTTGTGCTTGTTGTTATGCAAGAGATAAACAATAATGCATGTACTGACCTCATTTGTAGAGCATTCAAGCCGTCGGATAAATGGTTTCCCATTGACTCCAACGGCGTCTTCGAGCTGGCCGACATTGACCCCGCAGAAACGTGGGCAGCCATGGAGAAGCTGGTCCAAAGCGGCAAAGTCCGCGCCATCGGTGTCTCCAACTTCACTAAGCAGCGCATCGAGGATCTTCTGGCAAAGACCAAGACGGTTCCCGCCGTCAACCAGATTGAGGCGCATCCGTACCTCCAACAGCCGGATCTGCTCGAGTTCTGCAAGTCAAAGGGCATCCAGCTGGCCGCCTACTCGCCCCTGGGCAACAACCAGACGGGTGAGCCGAGGACGGTGGACGACCCTCTTGTGGGTGAGCTGGGCAAGAAGCTCGGCATTGACGGCGGCCAGTTGCTTGCTTCATGGGGTGTGCAGCGCGGCACTGTCGTTCTGCCCAAGAGTGTTACCCCTAGCCGGATAGAGTCCAACTTCAAGGTGCAGGAGTTGCCGGCGGATGCCTTTGCGCAGTTGAACGGGCTCGAGAGGAACAAGAGATTCAATTGGCAGACGAGATGGGGTTTCGATATCTTCCAAGAGCTGGGAGAGGAGGAAGTCAAGAGAGTAGCCCAGGAAACGGGTCCTGAGAACTTGACAAAGTTCACCATTTAGAAGACATAGATCAATGGAAAATATTATAGACTGTATTTAAGTCCTGACCCTAACCTCCTATATCCGGCATCCAAGCCAACGGATTTGAGTCAATGTCCAGGTATGGGCCGAAAGCAGAAGAGTCGAGGTCTAGCCAATCGGTCGTCTGCCATTCATCGAGCAAGTTGGATCCAAGGAACCCTGCGTCGCCCTGGTCCATCAGATCAACGGGGCCAGACTCGGTGCCATACCCATGGTTGAAGTCGAATCCGTCGGTCGTGATCGACGCTCCTCCGTTCCCCCCATTCGCCTGCAGAGGCGGCACATGCATATCTGCAGACAGCGCAGCCACTCGAGGTGCAGAAGTCCGGGGTGCCTGTGAAGCCACCTGAGTTTGCCGTGACATCTGGCCGAGACCCTCTGTCCTGAACTCTTCCAGGATGATGGCGTACCGGCGGCTGGGTGAATTGGACGCCGTGGCGTGCGCAAGATGCGTCTGGCATCGCTCAGCCAGATCCATGAGCTTCGTATGCTTTGCCTTTCCCTCACCCTCAAGCGTGATGCCTCGCCTCTTCTGCTGGATATCCCATACATACGTGACCAGCAGGGCGCAAAACGTGACGTACTGCGTCCACCAAAAGGCGTGGAAGATGGGCCCCTCGGCGGCCATGCCATCTACTGTCTCGAGCACCGTCCTCGCTGCGCCAATACACTCTAGGATCTGTGTCTCGCTGCCGGAGCTCAAGTTACCCAGGAGAAAGAGGCGGTTCGCGTGCATGATGGCGTGGGAGTAGGCCAGTTTGAGTACCGTTGCTTGACGACGGAAGCTTGGGATCAGCATGGAGGGGCGGATCGACCCGAGGTGAGGCGGGAGACTGGCGCGCCATTCGTGGATCTTCTTGCTAAGGCGGTGTGCGGCGGCGACGCGTTCTTGTTCGGAGATTGCTTTTATGGAGTAGACTTCTCTTGATGTGTTTCCGATGATTTGCGCAATCCTGTCAAATGTCACTACGTGTACGCAGAGAGTGTGATCAGACATGGGGCTGACTTACTTGGCATGGAATATCAGCGCGTCAATGTGACAGTCTGAATGTTCCTCCGATCTCTCAATGGGTCCCTGTGCAGTCATATCCTCGTCGTCGATCCTATCCGGGTAGTCTTGGTCAATGTCATCATCATGGAAGTGACGTGGACGGCCGAATATGACGCCCAGGTACTTGTCTAAAACGTAGCTGGTCCAGAACGTCCGCATACGACACTGCGCCTGGATGTAATCCGAGTTGCCCGGTGTCAAGTGCCGCTTCTTAGCCGCTTTTCTGTGCATACCCAGCGCAGATATGATCTGAAGCGCGTTTCCAAAGGTGTACCAGGCGCGGTTCATACGCGACGTGGTCAGGAGGTAGAGAACCTGGATCAATCGCGACTGAGCTGACTCTAGCCGAGGGAGCCCCGTCTCACGCTCTGTAAGCTGCAGTGCGACGCAAAAGAGTTGGTCACTACGAGCCAAGGATAGAGCCTCGCCTTCTGGTGAGTGAAATCCCTTTGACTTTTCGTTGTGAGCGGTGGCAATGGCAAGTGCCGTAAGGACGATGGACGCTTTGCCCCGACCAATATCCTGCCAGACGGCTTTTCCGTGGCGGAGGTTATTGATCATGGTCTTTAGCCATGCCTCGACGGAAGGGCGGTGCAGCACACGGTAGGTCGCGATGGAAACATCAAAGTACAGTGCCAGCAGATCCTGAATCTCTCTGGAATCCGGAAGCGACAAGTTGGCCACATCCTCGTCAGTAACAGGGGGCAGCGGCTTATCACCAGCCAGCATGAGTGGCTGGCTGTCGGTCGAGGCGTTGAGCTCGTCCGGGACGATGTTACTCTCGTGTTTCGAGAGCCGCTTCCACGCCCTGTGCAAGAAAGTCACACCCGACGTCGGGTCGAAGATCTGGCCCTGGATCTCAGCCATACCAAGCTCGGGCGAGGCTCGCGACGCCGGGCCCTGGCTCTCGCGTACATTTCCCCTCAGCGAGCGCGACGGCGCGGCCGGTGCAGCGACGTGTTCTCCGCCTCCCTCTTCAGTAGTCCGGTACATAACAGGCGGCTCCTCGGATCCGGATACGGCATTCGAACCTGTAGACCACACAGCTGAGGGCGGAGGTGTCGGGGGTCGACCGCGGGAGTACTTTGCATCGTAGACGCACGTGAGGCCCTTTCTGGTACACTTGTCGCAGGGGATAGTCCCGCTGCACCGCGCCTTGCGCTGCTTACAAAAGTCGCAAGCGCGGCTGACTTTCTGCAATTTACGGCGATTCGCTGCGGCGGCGGCGGAGGAGGACCCAGTGCCAGCCAGCTCATCGGACAGAGGCGAGTGCTGATCGGCGGCGGAGCTAAAGCTTCGTTTCCGTGAATCTCCACGGGGACTGCTAGCTGCGGCGGCTGAAGCGGCCGATGAGGAGTGACGGCCATCGGGAGCCGGACTTCCCGGGCCGGGGAGAGGACGGCGGTACTCCGGGGCGTCCATGACCGGGAGGCAAACGTAACGGGATGGAGTCGACGGACTTTTGCAAGGGTCCACTCCCTCTGCTCTCCTTTTCCTGTTATCTTGGCCGTTTGGCTTTTCTGATTTGTCTGCTTATGCGCAGTGTCCCAGTGGAGCGACGAAAACGCACGCACGCGGTTACGCCCGCGCGTTGCGCACAGTGAATGGGCGGGTTACCTTGGGGCAGAGGCGGGAAAGGGTTCGAGACTCGATGAGGGAGGGACTGGATGGAAAGTCGGAAAAGAAGGAAGAGAGATGGGACAGGAAACTTGAGCGCAAATCGACGGAAAACGGAGGGGATTTGTCTGGGGAAAGACAAGAGTTTCTGACTTGGGGGGAGGCGGGGGCCGCTACGACGACCAGGGACAAGGGTGTCTTTTCCCCCGCTTCCTCCTCATCTTTGCTGCGGGGGAAGCACTAGGGTGCACATAGTCTTCCTCGTTTATTGACTTGATAGTTGCGGCGTGTTCGGTTCGTGGGTATGCGATAGATCCGGGGTTGTCCGGGGTACTGCTAGATCCGACACCGAGGCGGATTCTTAGGATTTATGGGGAGAGGAACCAGAGGATGAAGGAGAGCCCGAGTTTCCCCGTCATCAGAAGACGCCATGCAGCAATTTTCAATGTGATGTAATAGTTAACAGAGCAGATGAGTAAGTGGCATTCTCAAACGGCCAGTATCACCTGTCAAGTTTCCGCATCTGACTTGTTCGGCACGTCTTCCGACTTCCAAGATAACATCTGCATGAGGGTTGTAGCCCATCACGATACCTCCTTACGACCGGTCATTGCCGGCAAGAGGCTGACAGCTCCTCAGAGTCAGGGGTTCTATCGGGATGTCTCGGCGTGCGCCAAGAGCGAGTCAGTCGTTGGACATCAGAGTGTTCAGGCTGAAGAGGCGTAGCAGCTGGAGATTGCTCATGTAGCTTGGCAGGCACATGCTTGGCACGTGGACACGGCACACGGTTTAGTTCTGAGTTGATGTGTGGAGCGTACGCAACCACCAAGGGAGATGAGTACGCCTGATAACTATTTCACTGTGTAATCATCAGTATCAGAGTTTTTGATCGACCTTGACGGCATTGATTTCTCATAGGTAGAATTAAGGAAGTCTCGAAATGAAAGTAATTGATTTCAATTTCACGGGCTTTGACACGAAATCAATCAAGTTAGCGGACAAAAGTTTGGCACGTATTGCGAGGATTAAAATACTTATGGTCAATGAGCTGTAAATATTATTTGAGGATCTTTACAATGACTCGAAAAGTAAATTAATTATTCTGCTCACACTCATCATAGGTTCAGTGTTATAGTCGATGAAGATGTCTAGGTAATTCCAAACTCTCAACCAAGCCTTCGCAGAATTGAAGCACGTTACCACTCAAAGGTCACAGTCAGGTAACGAGGCAAAGCTGAGATATTTGGGCCAGAAAGGATTGCTGTTCATTATCGGCATCAACAATCGCTATTTACTCGGGAAAAATAGTAAGTGTCAAAAACATCCTCGCGCCTCACCCTACATTTCCTCCACAGCCATCAACCGGACATCGAGACTCAGTCTCCGCCATCCATAGTCCGCCTGCCCTACGACATCCTCGCATAGCTCCTATAGAGTGTACTTGAAGTGAGGGCTCTTGTCACCCATATCCATAAGCTGCTGCTCCGTGTACTTCGCCCGAATCTCCTCCTCGGACATCTTGGCTTTCCTATCATTCCCCCACTTGTAGCTCCATTCCAGCAGCAGCGCAACGATCAACCCGCTACCGCCAAACGCCAGCGACAGCCCGAAACCGGTGTAGTACTTTGGCTTTTCGTTGTCGAGGTACATGTAGCTACCAATGATACCACCGATGTTGCCCACGCAAATGTTGAAAGCCACACCGATGGCGCGGCGCGAGGCCGGGGCGAGGTTGTTCGCCGCCCAGGAGGAACCCGCGGGCTGGATGGGGTAGATACCCATGCAGGTGATAATGACGCCGACCATAGCTCCCGCAATGTTACCGGACAGATCACCCTTGAAGGAGATGATGACGCCGTAGCCGATGGTGATGAGGCCCATGGGGATCGCGACGAAGGGCATGCGCCAGTAGAACCTGTCCGACAAGCGTGCGAAGAAGATGGCCGAGGCAGCGCCGCAAAAGTACGGCGGGACCGTCATGAGCTGCGCAGCGGTATTGTTGAAGCCCATGGCCTTCGTGATAGTCGGCAGCGTAAACTTAGTACCATAAGAACACGCCGAGGTGGCGAGGAGCGCCCACGCCTGCATGTACAGCCGCCAATTCGTGACAACGGCCTTGAGGTCGTGCCACTTGAACTTGTCCTCCTGCTTCTCGTCCTGGAAGCGCCCACCCTGCTTGATGAAGTGCTGGATCTCGAGGAAACGGATTTCTTCGGGGGTAAGCCATTTCCCGCTGAGTGAGGGGCGGTCGATGAGGAGGAAGAAGGTGGCGATGCCGAGGCCGACGGTGAAAATGCCCTCGAGGATGAAG